CCCCCCCTTAGTTTGAACTGAGTTTGCCTTGATTTGCATGTAATCAGGACGGAGGTTCACGCAGGAAGGGGAACCAAGGCAGCTCAACTCGGTGAAGAAGAAACAAGCAGGGAACATTCTTCCCTCAGGCGCTGGGTCTCTTCGTTCCCATCTGGAAATGGTTCTCAAGAGGGGGTTGAAACTATAAAAAGAAGGGGGGTAACCCCCCCCCACCCCCTGTCTGTCTCTGGCATCGCACCTAAGAAAACAAAGGGAAACAGCTGCTGGACTCTGAGTGGGGGTGGGGGGCTGACCGAAGAGTGTACGAAAGCTTCCGAGTGGGAGCCGAGTTAAAAACTTAAAAAACAACCAATAGTCTAGTAGTACCTGCCACTCATGAATGGATCTCCACGTCACCCTGCTGTTTCAGGCCAATTCCACAAGCCAAATGCACAGGGAAGGGTTGGAACTTCACTTCATTGACAACTTTAATTCTTATCCGATTGAATGGAACAGAGGCATGGGCTGGCTCACGACCTTCCACATCCTAATGACTCAGCCACCCAATCCATGGAGGGGCCAATTGTTATCAGCCTCTTGTAATTTGAGCAATCTAGTCACTGTCTTTTTGCTCCTTTTTTTCCCTCCTCCCCCACAACATTTATCCTTGGATCTGGACTTTGAATACTCCGGTCATCTGAAGAAGTGGGCGGTGCCCACGAAAGCTCATGGTCCATCGACATGTTTTGTGAGTCTGTAAGGTGCTACTAGATCATTGGTTGTTTTCTGAAGAGGGAGGCCAGCCACCGTGCTGGAAGCGTGGGGCGAGGCACTTTGCTTGTCGTTAAATGTCATTAGAGTTAGGCCCCGGGAAGCAGGGGATCTCTTTCTCGGTTTGTAGGCCTCATTACTTGGACTTGCTCTAAGTCCATCTCTTTGGGGTTAATCAGCCTCTTTTGATTGCTTTATCTCAGCCAGTGCGCTCCAGCCGTAGTGTCTGGCTCACGCCAGTTACGGTACCGAGCTCGCACCTTCCTTTCCAAGAATGGACGTCAGATAGTGGCACTGTCAAGGTGAGGGCGGGCAGTGCAGGACTTGCAGGGCTGGGTGTGCTGGGGTCACCCTGCCACGTCTCTTTGGGGTTAATCAGCCTCTTTTGATTGCTTTATCTCAGCCAGTGCGCTCCAGCCGTAGTGTCTGGCTCACGCCAGTTACGGTACCGAGCTCGCACCTTCCTTTCCAAGAATGGACGTCAGATAGTGGCACTGTCAAGGTGAGGGCGGGCAGTGCAGGACTTGCAGGGCTGGGTGTGCTGGGGTCACCCTGCCACGTCCCAAAGGCTGGCGAGAGCCAGGGTGTACCTGGCTGGCTGCCACGTGCACACCCCGCCCCCTTTCCTCTC